CTAGAATATCTGGCGAAGTATAATAATATGTAAACTCATAACATTTATTTAAATAATTTCAATTTGATTTTTGTTTCGTCAAGCAACAATCAATTAATGTTATCAACAATAACTTAAATATTTTTTTTTACATTGTTGTAGATTGTAGAACTTAATTATTAATGATAGTTGTTTAGAAATTGTCTTAAATTGAATGACTTATACGAAACAATCAGACGGAATATTTTTAATAGTTTACCTAATTTGTAGTAAATATACAAGGTTGACTTAAAAATGATTTTTTTCAGGGATCTGTAGAGGTAACGTTTTTAATTAGTACCTAACCTAAACAAATAGTGACTTAGAACAGTTATGAATTATGATGTATACAATTTAATACTCATACAAAAAATTATTTTTCGGGTGAGAAACTTGCAGACAAACTTGTAGGAAATAGTTTAAAAATAAATTCATAAGAAACATATTATGGAAATATTTGATTCAATAAAATATGTTGGGTATAACAAGTAACAGGATGAAGAAGAACACATAGAGTATATGACGCAATAAAAAAATCCCCCGACGAACAACCCCGGATAAAAAATCCCTGACCCCAGGAAAAAAAATCCCCAGCTGCAATATGACTGACAATCACATGCAAATGGTTGAACATATATATTTTGAACGTTAATTAGTATCTATAATTGATATTTAATGACAAATACGTATATTATATCCTATTATAATATAATATATTATATTATATTATAATTTATATTGTTAAAAAAATTATAAAAATATTTATAATGATCGATACGTCAATTAATAATACAGTTAAAACATAGTATATAAAAATAATATACAAAATATAGGTACCTACCTATATATTTTATGTAGGTATAATTCTGTAAAAATTGAATCCCCGAAATAAAATATTGCGTTCTCTGTGACATTTTGACGATAAGCGGTTTAGTATGTACCTTTGATAATATATAATATGAGGTAAAGTTAGTTATTTAATTTGAATTACACATAATATATTATCGTAATTTAAAACAAAATATTATTTATAATATATAATTTTTTTAACAATATAATATAATATAATATATATTAGAACAAATATTTTTTAAACGTTAATTATAGATACTAATTAACGTTTAAAAAATATTTGTTCAACCATTTGCATGAGGTTGTGAGTAATATTGTAGTCTGGAGATTTTTTTTCCTAGGGTCGGGAATTTTTTTTCCGGCGTTGTTCGTCGGGGGATTTTTTTTCCGGGATTCATGAAAACATCATTTTAATTTGTAGATACTATCACAATAGTAATAATTGTGCTGAGCTTGACATAAAATGAGGAGAAAAAACACATTACTAAGATATTTCATGAAACAGACTTCAGAAATAAAAAAGTCCTTTGTAAAATCTAAAATGAAGTGGGGATACAGTGAAGGGATGAGTTAAGGATTAGGGGAAGAAAACAAATTGGAAGGATCAGGCATTAGATAGTTAAAGGCAATTAAAGGTTTAGGCAATAGTTGGAGGATTTGTTTTTGGACGGTATATGGTCCTATAGTTGCCCAAAAAAATAAGTAGAACCAGAAGAATAATAAGATAATAAAGTATTGGAAAAAAAATTAAAAGGTTGATGCATATTGTGTGTCCTTAATTGACGGTTGGCATAAATGACCAATATCCAAACTGAAAGTGTTACGAAAACAATAAATTCCAAATCAATATTTTCTTGACATTGATTTCCGTTTGAAAGTCGACTTACAAGTTACAATATTCATAAATTATAGCTAGATATTAGGAATGTATCTCAAAAATACCATAATATGTAAAATGTTTAGTAAGAATAAGTTGCCCATGTTGGATAATAGTAAACCATTCAACTAACCAATTTACGGTACTTAGGTACTCTGTACTCAATCATTGTTTTTATAATTTTGTTTTAATAACTTTAAAATGTTATAGATCTTTCAGGTATAACTATTGGATATAGTAGTAAGGATATTATAATCACCAAATACTTAATTTTATTCAGTGCTTGAATTTTGTAGTGCGCATGGGGGACGGAGCAGTAGGACAATAAATAACTTACAAATATTATATGTAATACAATGATGAAAGTAAAATATTAAAAGAGTACCACCTATATTAAGTTATTACAGGTATCTAGACACGCTAACACTAGCTAACAAAACTGGCGAGCAGCACAGTGTGTAATATTACACGAACCATTTGGAGCCACTTTTAACCCAATCATAACTCAAAAACTATTCCACATAAACATGTATACACATATATCCACTTACACATACGGATAGGAAACTTGTAAATTTTTAATTTTTAAATTAATTGATTTTATTATAATTTTTCAATTATTTGATCTATTATATTTAATTTTTCAATAAATTAAATAAGTGCTTCTAATTTATTATAATGTTGACTTTGACTTATATATAGCTCCGCTAACCTTTACCGTATCGCCAAAATTCGTCCAGTCGAATATGTGTCGATATTGGCAACCCACGCGCAGCAACATACTTTGTTTTTCTATGTACCTATGTAATTAATATTAATTAAAAAAAAAAATACAATTAAAATAATTAAATTAATTAATTTTATGATTATGAATTACCCACCCACCAGTAGAAATTATAGTAAATAAAATGACGATGGTTAAAAATATACTCAAAAAAAGATAAAAAATTTGTATATTAATTTTATATTTTATACTCTGTGTACGACAGAAAATATTATATAATAAATATTATTATAATGTTATTAACTGAATTATAGAATATAGTAATAAACTTTATTTATAGAATACGTCATGGCTAGGTTAGGTTAGGTTATAATAATTTACAATTTACATGATATCCCACCAAAACATATATGTAAAACAAGTTATGATAATATATTGAAGCCTAAGGTCTGACTTGGCTACGAATTATGTTATAGCCATCGCAAGATCTAAAGCTTCAAGTTCTTATTTTATTCTTCCGAAAATCATCTTCACTGTTCCATTACTGTTTTAGTAGATACTTAATAATAATTCGTATATGAAAACTAGCCAAGTCAGACCTTAGGCTTCAATATATTATCCTAACTATTGGCACCCATTTAGATCTCACTTCTTTTGTCGTTGAAGTCAACAACCAAGGCATATATTATAGTATTGAACTTGATTCTCATTTTACATAGGTAAATCTTTTTTGTGGGATATCTGTTATATAACAGTTTGTTAACAGTTTAATATTTAATAATATGCTTAAAGGCCATATTTTCATATTCTTGAGATATTATGTATTACTCAAGTAGTGTTCTGTATAGATCAAACATCTGTTTTTCAAATAAGAACCATCCTCCCTTTTTTACTGTAAGTTATTCAGTGGATAACTGTTCTGAATTAAAATACATAATATGCTATTAGTTTTAAATATATTAATTATTTAATTTTGTGTTCTAAGGATAGAATGTCAATGGTAATTGGTTCATAAAATATTGGGTTTATTGTTTATGTAAATAGAAAATTTAGTCATCTATCAACATAAATAAATTGTAAAAATGTCCAAAATTTAATAATTACTTGTTCCAATATATTCTTATATTTTTACAAGAGCATTTTTTTGGGCTATTATCCTTAGAACAAACATTTTAATGACGAAGGAACTAATCATTCTAATTTTGAATTAGGTACCTACAATAAAATTTCAAAAAAATCATCTAATTATTTTACAGTAAAAAAGTGGAATGGGTGAATAATTTGAAATACAGAAGTTTGTGTCGCCACCGAACACTTTTTAAGTAGGTGGTACAAAAAATTCTGAATCAATATTTAATCGACTTTGATTTCCGTTTGAAAGTCGACTTGTCATATTCATAAATTATTATATAGCTATTACTTATTAGTATGAAGTATCTTAAAAATACTGTATGTAAAATGTTTAGTGAGATTAAGATGCCCATGATTAACCATACATACAAATTAATTGGTACCTACTCAAGCATTATTTTATATAATTTTATTTTAATAATTTTAATATTGTATAGATTTTTACAAAGGGTTTTTTTCAATCGGAAAGTAAGGATATTGTAATTAACAAATACTTAATTTTATTACTTCCTTATTTTGAAGTATATTATAATTAATAAGTGTTACTTATAAGTATTGGCTTTTATAACCATATACAGGTAAATTGTATACCTTTTTTATTTTTACAAATTTTAATAACACATAGGTATTCGGATATTTGAGGAGAACACAAAAAAATATTTAATAATTCATTTATTAGTAACATTCTAACTCCAAGACTCCAATGTACCTATGACGTATTGATTTTCCAAGATGCATCTTGTCAATTCAACCCTGTCATAACTTATAAATTAATCGTAAAGCGTGTTTTTTATTTAAACAGTATTTAAATTTTTTGTTATTACCATGTGAAGAATTTCAATTTGCTCACAAGATAAATTAAATAATGTGTAACAATTTGTTTTAATTTTTAAATTTTTAATAACATAATAGGTAGGTACCTACTTGTTCCAGCGAAGGAATTGATTGTTGACCGTAATATGATCATTACATGACATGATATTTTATTCTTTGTCGCAGAACCTACGGGTCATCATACGATTGAGCAAGTTTGTAACTGCTTTACCTTATTGCGCAACCGGTGCCCTTAATGACAAGTCTGACCAGCGCTCTACATATAACATAGATCCGGCTCAGAGACGTATTCAGGGGGTCAGGGGGCTTGGGCCCTGGGTGCTAAATGGTAGAAAATATTAGAAAACGTAAAATAGTTATATTACATCATTATCACGAACATTTTACAATAATATAATATAAACATTAGACAGTCTTCAAACAGCTATAATAACAACATTATGGGGTGATATACCACAAAGATTCAACAAAACTAGTAAACAATTGCAGTCAGTTGAGATTGATTTAGAAACAGTTGTAAGTGTCTACGAATTCTTAATTCGATATGTATCAGATTTAAGGAGTATGTTTGATACATATGAAGAGAGAGCAGATAACAAATCGGGACACAAAATGTATCGAAAAATACGCAAAAGAAAAAGAGAATTAACTGTAGATGAAAAAAGAGAAGGAGAAATAAATTTTGAAATTCGATATTCTTTAAGGATTAATACTTATTATGCTATTATTGACAAACTACATTCTGAACTAGAAAGAAGAAATTTGTATTATGATGAAGCTAATAAAAAATTTAACTTTTTGTTTCAAATAATAAAACTATCACCATTAGAAGCGTACAAGAAAACACAAATACTTCAAAATATATATAAAAATGATTTTTCGTCTTTATTTGCGAATGAGTGTATACAATTCAGAAGTTATTTAATGAGTATAACTGAAAACATAAGACCTAAAACTATAGTAGATATTTTTATCAGAACTAAAAACCTTCCAGAACTGTTTCCTTATGTATACCTATATAGCATTAAGGATGTATTTATGCTGGTCAAAGTTCAATTGTTCAGCCGGGAGATCATTTTCAGCATCAAGGTTAAATCTTATTAATTGAGGTCGAGAATGACTGATGATCGTCTTAATACAGCGGTTCCCAACCTTTTATAAGCGTGACCCCAATATTTTAAATTTAACTTTTGGCGTCCCCAAAAAAAAAAAAAATTCATAATTTATTGTAAACTCAACATTATTTTATTTATTATCATCAAATTGGTAAATATGTATATTTATGTATATTTTACAGCCTGCGACAGATCATTTAGATAATCTATTTCAAATTATTTTTTCCTCGATCATTATAATTCTTATTATTAGAATATTTCAGGATTTTTTTATTTTTTTTTAATAATATGTAAATTGTAAGACGTATGTAATGATTTCGCGACCCGCCATAAAAACCTCCGCGACCCTAATTTGGGTCGCGACCTGAGGTTGGGAATCGCTGTCTTAATAGATTAGCAATTATATTCCGAATCTAATGGTAATACTAGTTGCTATTGTGCAACCAAATATTTGGCAGACGGTCCATAGTAATAACACACATTTATATATATATATTATTAGATAACAATAGAAACTTATGATAACATAATGAGGGATACTTTGAGTAGCGCGAACAATACGCTAAAGTGCTTTCAGGGGCGGACTGGGCCGGCAGGATATCGGGAACTTTCCCGGTGGGCCGCTACTCAAAAATAATTAGTTACCTATTATTATTTATTTATAACAAAATCAGTAGGTACCTATAAATATAAATTATAAATATTTTGTATTTTCATATCATAACTGTTGAGTGTGCAAAATGTTTATATTATATTTGGTGTTAAAGATTTTAGATTTCGGTTCAGCTGGTTGACCAGCCCCTCGGCATCAATGCATAAACAGAAATTATTATTTATAACTACTAGGGTGTGAATTTGAAGATAAATTGCATTTTTTTCTCTCTTAAACATTGCTTTCCAATTAAAAAATGTATTTCATACATAAAATAATTTAAAAATTAAATTTTTATTTAGCATATTTTTAACTTTACTGATTTATAGAACATTTTTATGACGTTTTTATGACATTTTTATCATTTGAAGGAATTTTTCGTAAATTTTATAAGTATATATACAATTTTATAAACACTATTAGCTTAAGTTCCTTCAAGAAATTTAATATAATTAAAAATCATTTTTTCTTACTAATATTTCTATTTTATTACGTTTTATTTTATTTTGTTTGCTCCTATGACTTCAGTTATACAAAACAACACTTGCCAATTCTAACTGTCAAAGTTTTTTATTCAAAAATATTGATAAGCTTCTGATTGAAAAGTGATTATAATGAATCACAATATATGACGACTAACGACTAATGACTATACCTATTTAAGTTCTATTTTATTTTCATTTAAATTGGCTTTTCATTTTTCTGGGCATTTTACTAAGCTTTGTAATATTGTTACTGTGCATAAAATCGTATTTTTAAGGCATTGTTTTTTTTATTGCATTTATATCCATGCCCTATTTATAACTTAATATGACTTTATTCTACAGTCGATTAATATATCCACTTCTAGCCAACCAGTATTTACTTAATATAACTAACATTAAATTGTACACAATAAAAAATATAATATAAATATATTGTACCTATATAATAGTAAAATATAAAAGATAATTTGTGATAATTTGATGGGAATTAATAAGCTGATAACTAAAGGTACAGTTTCGTACGTTCAATGTAACGTCCTTAATTCAAAAAAGTGAATTCTTGAACTTCTTTTTTATTTTATTGTAGTGTACTAGTGTATCGTTTGATGTTTTTGTAATATTTACTTATCTATTTGTTGTTTAAAATGGAAACTAAAAGAAAGAGTGGGGTTGAGAAAATCAGAGAGAGAGAAAAGGATACTCTTAGAAAAATCAAGTTGAAGTAGTTTAAACGAACCTATTTTTTTCATCCGTTATGGATCACTTATAGAGTAGGTAATAGAAAAAGTGATATATACATAATACTGTGCAGTACATTTAATTAAGATAAAATACTAAATAGGTACATTGAGAATCTTAAGTTGTCTCCTGAGGAAATTAAAAATGAGTAGGTGGAGGATGCAACCATTATTTGTCAAAACTTTGGTACCATATTTAAGTCTTACATTTAGTGATGACGACATTTTAAGGGCCGGTCAAAATATAAATTTCCCTGGCCGAATAGTTGCCCAAGTCCGTCCCTGAGTGCTTTCCAACCTCATTAACCTCGCTTTATCTAAGATAACTGTTATTTATATAATTCTAAATTCTTTAAATTTTTTTATAAGTTACAAAACGGTGTAATATCTACAACCCTACACATATTTTCAGCTCATGGTTTTTACTTTTCAAAGCTATGAGCATATACGTATATAAGTACTACGTGTACGTGATTGGTGTATCATGCTCAACCAATTTTTCTTCAATTATGTAGTTAGGTATTTAAATTTTGTTTTTTGGAATTTTTAATTTACTTAAATGTTATATTTAAAAATTCTTGAGATATTTTGTACTGCTCAACATTTTCACGTGAAGATACAAATCTCTGTTTGTTTTTAAATGAGAACCCTTCTCTTCATCTAAAAATTATCCAGTGTATAATTTTTCTGAATCAAAATAATTACAATTAGTTTTAAATAGAGTTATTTAACTTCATGCTATAAGGATAATTTTACGTATAACTATATATTGTTTTATTCTGTGTGAAATGTCAATATAATATTATAATAATATTAATTATTTCGTTTATTATAGATCAGGGACCTTCCAGTACATATTATTCGTAGTTTTAATTTAAGTATAAGAAGTTGTTATAGAAAATGTCACTTTCAAAATATTTAATTGATGTTATTTAAAATGTTTCTTTATAATAATAAAAATTAAGGTGAATTAAAACCAAAAATTATCTAACCTAAATGTACCTAAATGTAAAGCACAAAAAATGATAAGGGTATTAATTTTATTAACCGAAGAAAATACTGATGATTGGACTTTTTTGACAACCAACAACTATAATAAAAATTAAAAACTAAGAACGATCGTAAAATAATATATTGGTACTTTGGTCACATTTTCAAAGCAAACAAATAAAACATAATAACATGTAAAATAAAATAAGCTCATAAACAATGATAGATCTACTAGAAACGAACTAAGTTATAATCAAATATGTATTATTTGTTTTTACAGACATGACTGACAGTAAGTATTAATAAGTTTTTTAATTTTTCTAAATGAAGGAAATAGTAAAAAACAAAATGGATATGAATTGCACCAAAACTTAAAACTCCGAACTTCCATGTAACGAGATCTTGCCTTCTTGGTAACAAACACATTCGTTATTGTCGGTTCATTCTATCGCAAAACTGTTCCAAAATCTTAAGTAAGTGCCGTACAAAAAATGGCTAGGTACTGAGTGTTCTTGAGTTTGTGTTTCAAATCTAAATATTTTATTAAAAAAAATTATGTTTACGTTCACAAACTACAATACTAGAATTTTATATTTAGAGTGATTAGATAGATAAAAACAACCATTATGTTATTAAGTAATATATTTTTTTTTTATAATGTATTATGCTTGTATATAAATTGATCATGTAATACTGTACCTAATAGTCTATTGATCTCAATCCTAATAAAATCATAATCATATATTATAGTTGTTGTTGTATATTGTACATGATTATAATATGTTGACAACTAAATAATACCTCTTTCTAAAGTTTTACTGATGATAACTATAACTTGAATGTTTATCATTGATTGTGTATTATATGTATGATCATTTTTAAGCCAATTAATATAAAAACTAACCACGTATAAACATATTTGTATTGTTTTTTCAGCACAGTTAGAACGTACGTAATGTTTGTGTTTTTTTAATTTATTAATCATTAAGAATTATGATATGCGTTTTTCACTGTTATTTTCTAAATAATAAATTGTAATCCAAATTATACAAAAACAGGTTACTTTTTAAAGCAAAACTTTCATACCCGCTGTACTTTTGTAATAATTTTTACTATTTTTTTTTCCAATTGTGACAACAAAATCGTAGCCCCTTATTTTGTGTTTATTTCAATTTTCAAGCCAAATAAGATAACTTTTACATATAGTTATAGTATAAACCTAATTAATAATTATTATAATTTTTGTAGTTGGAATTGGTAAGTACAAAATATATACGTATAACAATATATTGCTTAATTAAAGTGTATTATTTTATTCTGGGTTAAATGACTGAAATGTGAAAATTATATTATAATAATATAAATTATTTCGTTCATTATAAATTCTCAATGTCAAATTGATATAGAAGATCAGAAACATTGCTTTACATTTTGTTCGTAATCTTAATTTAAGTTTGAGAAGTTGCCTTACAAAAATGTCACTTTCAAAATGTTCAAACGGTGTTATTTAAACGTTTCTATATTAAAATAGAAATTAAACTGAATGTCAGAAACCTAACATTAAATAATCTTCAAATGTAAAGCACACAAAACTATAAATGTATTAATTTTTAAACTACATAAAATACAGATGATAGGACAACCGACAATTACATAAAAGTTAAAAACTAAGCATGATCTCAAAAAAAAGTTAAAGGAAAAAAAACATAATGATCTGTAAACAAAATATAGCTCATAAATAATGATAAATCTACTAGAAACGAACTTATTTATTGTATAAGATAAATATTATTTGTTTATATAGAGGGATTTGACGGTAAGTATTTATAAGTTTTATAATTTGTCTTGTTGGAGGTAATAGGTAAAAAAAAATGTATAGAATGGTACCAAAAATTTAAATTACGAATTTCCTTATAATAAGTTGTTAGTTATAAATAGAGCTACGATTTTAATGACCTAAAAAATACACAAAATAAATGCAAAAATGACCTAAAAACTTTAAAAAAATGAACTTAAAAATGTACTTAGACAAGAGAAGAAAATTTTTTTTTAAAATAAATATTATTATTTTACCTACACAACACATATTAAAAAAGATTAAAATAAACAAAAATTAGTTTAAATA